TATACCTGCAGATGAAGCCCCTTAAAGTTTGAAGCCCGTGGTGATTCGGGCGAAACCGCTCGGATCCAGAGGACCTGGCAACGGAAGCAAGAGGAAGGAGCCCAGGTCGGAGCCGGGGGGCGGAGAGCGGCAGGGGAGTCTTCAGGGGCAGGTTCGAAGCTTTTGGACCTCGAGGTTCGAGGTCTGAGGTTTGCGGACGTTTTCGTCGGTCGTCGGCGGCGCCCGCAGGTTAGAGCCAGCTCGAGGTCAGAGGTGGCCCAGCACTGGTTCCGGACAGCAGGAAGGGAAGGCGAGCTTCGGAACGTTGAGTTCGGACAGTTCTTCCCAACAATTTTGTTGTGCTGGGTCCTCGTTTTGAAGAGACAGCGCCCCACGTCCCTCACTCCCTCCTCCTTCTCCTCCTCCTCCGCCTCCTCCTCCCGCTCCTCCCTCCTCACATCTCTGCCGCTGCCCTCCGCATGTCTGTGTTTCGGCACAGGGTGCAGCGTTTCGTGGCCCCGTATGGAGCTCCACCAAAGACCACAGTGGCACCGTCCACATGTGTCCGCGCCACCCATGTCGGCACACCCCTCACACGCTTCGTGGCCCCATAGGGAGCCCCACGCAAGGCCCCATTGGCACCGTCCACATGCGTCCGCGCCACCCATGTCGGCGCACCCCTCACACGCTTCGTGGCTTTATAAAGAGCTCCACTCAAGGCCCAAAATTGCACTGTCCACATGCGTCCGCGCCACCCATGTCGGCACACCCCTCACACCGTTCGTGGCCCCATAGGAAGCTCCACCCAAGGCCCGAATTGCACCGTGCACATGCGTCTGAGCCACTCATTTCGGCACACCCCTCGCACGCTTCGTGACACAATAGGGAGCTCCACTGGAGGCCTCATCAGCACCGTCCACATGCGTCCGCGCCTCCAATTTCGGCGCACATCTCACACGCTTCGTGGCGCGATGGAGAGCTCCACCCAAGGCCCCGCGGGCACCGTCCACATGCGTCCACGCCACCCATGTCGGCACACCCCTCACATGCTTCGCGGCCCCATAGGGAGCTTCAACCAAGGCCCCAGTGGCAGGGTTCGCATGCGTCCGCGCCACCCATGTCGGCGCACCCCTTACACGCTTCGTGGCCCCGTGGGGAGCTCCACCCAAGGCCCCACGGGCACCGTACACATGCGTCCACGTCATTCATGTCGGCACACCCCTCACACGCTTCGTGGCCCCATAGGGAGCTCCACCCAAGGCCCCATTGGCACCGTCCACACGCGCCCGCGCCACCTATTTCGGCACACCCCTCACACGCTTGGTTGCCCCATAGGGAGCTCCACTGGAGGCCTCAGCAGCGCCGTCCACATGCGTCCGCGCCATTCATGTCGGCACACCCCTTACACGCTTCGTGGCCCCATAGGGAGCCCCACCCAAGGCCCCGCGGGCACCGTCCACATGCGTCCGCCGCGCCACCCATTTCGGCACACCTCTGGCACGCTTCGTGGCCCCATGGGGAGCTCCACCCAAGGCCCGAATTGCTCCGTCCACATGCGTCCACGCCACCCATGTCGGCTCACCCCTCACATGCTCCGCGGCCTCATAGGGAGCTCCACCCAAGGCCCCAGTGGCAGGGTTCGCATGCGTCCGCGCCCGCGCCACCCATGTCGGCACACCCCTGACACGCTTCGTGGCCCCATAGGGAGCTCCACCGAAGACGAAAATTCACTTCTGCGGCATTCAAGTATTCACCGTTGCCTATGGTTGGGTCCATCGCCAGGCTAATTCGCATTGTTCGGCCTCCGGAGGCCGATTTGAAGCCCCCAGGACCGTCAAAAACGGCTCAGGGGTGAAAAACTGCACCAGATGGGCCTTGGGAGAGATCCAGGGACCGAGTTTGAACGGATTTGGCGTCTTCCCCCCCTCCTTGCCGAGCAATTGGGGTCTCCCAACCAGTTCAGACCTCGCAGCCGCCTCCCAAACCCAGCCGTTGGCGCCGTGTCCTGATTCATGCGTTGAGGCCTGCCGCGACGAGGCTGCAAAAAGAAAATCGGAGCCGAGCGTAGGAGACGCGCGCAAGAGGGTTGCAGCCACGGCCGTACTGATGTTCATCATCATGGATATCATCAGGTTCGTCGTTGTCATTATTACTGTAATCGTCATCGCTATCACCACGCACGTTACTGTTGCACGTCTGTTCTAGGATGCGTCATCACATAGTTGCCCATTGTGTGTCTCGTCATCCTTCTACTCCCCCTCCTCATCCTCCTCCTCGTCATCATCCTCCTCGTCGTCATCATCAGCATTGTCAGCATCATCAACCTCATCATCATCAGCATCACCAGCAGCATCATCGTCATCGTCATCGCCATCGTCATCGCCGTCGTCATCGTCATCGTCATCATCATCGCATCTGCATCCCTGCAGCTTTCAAACATCGCCCATGTGGGTTTGGAATAAATTAAATATTATTACCCGCTCCCCCTCGTCTGCCTCCTGCTCTCCCCCCTCCCCGGCAGGACTAACGTGTCCCCCACAGCTACCGAGAGGCTCCAGAAGCTGCTTGTGATGATGCACGAGAAAAACTACGAGAACGCCATCATCATAGCCATCGATCTCCAAGGAGGTGCTCTCCCCCAGCTCCTCCCACTGCCTCTCACGCATGTGAAGTAGGGGGCCAGGAGGAGGAGGAGGAGGAGGAGGAGGAGGAGGAGGAGGGAGGAAGGAGGCGGGAGGAGGGAGGAAGGAGGCGGGAGGAGGGAGGAGGGAGGGCGGGAGGGAGGAGGAGGAGGAGGAGGACGAGGAGGAGGAGGAGGAGAAGGGGGGAGGAGGGAGGAGGGAGGAACGAGGAGGGAGGAGGGAGGGTGGGAGGGTGGAAGGGAGGGAGGGAGGAGGAGGAGGAGGAGAAGGAGCAGGAGGCCCTGGCACTCGGCGGCGAACGTCTAGGCTGCCGCCGTGTCCCCGTGGGGCCTCGCGCTCGGCGCGCCTCGCCATTGGCGGAAAGCCGGGCGAAAGCAGCGCGTTTGCGGGTCCGCCGGTGGCAGCTTGGCTGAGACGTGGTGGCAGGCGGCGGAAGCAAGAGTGAGGCGTCGACACTCCAGGCCTCCCGGGTGGGGTCAGAGCAGATGGGGTCGGAGGATCGCGCCGCATCTCCGATGCATCGGCGATGCATCGGCGATGCGGCGGCGATGCGGCTCGATGTGGGGCCCGAGTTTCTCCACGCCGACGTCGCCGATGCATCGCCGACGTCCCGAGTGCATGGGCGGTGCATCGCCGATGCATTCTCGATGCATCGCCGATGTATTGGCGATGTGACGAGATCCTCCGACCACATCTACTCGGACCCTATATAGGAGGCCTCTGAACATGTTCGTATCCAGGGTTTCCAGAGCGGGCCATGTGTCGGCCGCGCGCAGAGGGGACCAGGGGGAGGGGGGGAAGGCTTCTTAGAAGCACTCCTGTTTCTTAGAAGGCGCGGGCCTTCCCTGTAGATGTCAGGCCCGCGCCTCCCCCTACCCCCTTGTGCGCGCCGCCAAGTATGTGCCTCGTTTTTCCTTCCCTTGTCTCGCCGCGCACTGGCTAACCAAAGCCACCGCCTTTGGCCAGATGGCGCCCCGTCCCCACGCAAAGCATGTTGCCCAATACCGGGGGGCTCTGCCCGAAGAGGTCGATGAACGTGTAGTAGGGTGTGTTCGTGGGGCGAGCACTGCGCAGGTACAATTTTTGGATTATTTCGCCACTCACGCTGACGAATGGGTCGCTTGTCGGGTGATGGCGTTCTTCGTTTTTTTTTGTGCCGCCTGGGGGCTTCTCATCCCCACGGCTAGATCCAGCTCTGAAACAAGCCAGGGTGCAGGCGGGAAGGTTCTGGTGACCGATTTTGAGCGGATTTGCGCCGGGCTGAAGAGCTGCTGTTGCCTCAATTGGAACTTCTCCGAGGGGGAGGAGGAGAAGGAGGAGGAGGAGGAGGAGGGTGCAAAGTTGCGCAGCACGGCATAAGACGATGGATGCTCACGATTGTGTTGTGCTACGATGTTCTGACTTATATCTCGAGTAGGGGATCAACTACAGAATTGTTTTGAATCAGTTCTGCACGTCATTTCCTACTTGAATATTCGGCGAGTGTGAAGAGCGGGCGTCGGCTTGCTCACGCGACGCGGGGGTGCACACTGCTGCCGGCGGTGGCTGCCACGCCCTCCCCGACGGCCACTCAGCCAGGCCTCCGACGTCGTGTTATTCGTTGTCGCGGCGTGGGGCCCCGGGGTCCTGGACCTCTTCCCCGGGGCGGCTTCTTCGGTGGCAAATCACGGGGGCCAGGAGGAGGAGGAGGTTGTATACCCTCGCAATCCCGTCTTCAGAACGCACCAGCATCGACTCGTGAGTGGTAGGCCATGGGAGAGCGCCAGCGTCGACGAGCGTCGGTCTAGCGTCGACGAGCGTCGATTCGCAAGAGCCAACAAGATGGTGTGCGAGGCCCCCATGCGCTGCCGCAGAAGGCTTCTCCTCCTCAAGTCGTCTTCTGCTGGTCCCCAGGGGCCCGCCGGGCGCCGACGGCGGCCGAGGGGGGAGCCTCCGCCGCGATGCCTCCGCGGCGCGAGGAGGTCTGGGGGCCGAGGTGGCGCCGGACGAAGGAGGGGGACAGGGAGTCGGGGCTCGAGAGACGGGGGGTCCATGCAAACGGAGGTCAGCCAGAGCGCCCGATCTTGCAGGATCCTGCAGAGCAAGGGCGGCACTGACCCGGGCCTGGGCGCAGGACCTCTTGCAGGATATCCTTCGCACTGGCCCGGGCTCGGGTGCAGGATCTTGCAGGATTCTGCAAGGCCCGACTGACCCGGGTCTGGATTGACCCAGATCAGAAGATCCCCGAGGGAAAGGGGGGGGCATACGACATCTGCTGCGTGCAGTTGGTTTCCGCCCCGCCGCCGGGCTCACTCTTCGATGCAAGGGCGCCCCCTGGCGCCGGGAGGCGCCAGGAAAGCCAGCGACGTGAGCCGATGATCTGCCCTGCCTTTTGCTATCTTACCCTTTCGGGCCCAACGGCATCAAGCAGTGGCGAAGCGTCTTGGCTCGCCGATAAGCACACCAAATAATGTTCTAAGAACCTTTTTGTGGTCTGCGTGAAATGAGTGTTCGTAGACGATGTCTGGCCGAGTAAGAATGGTGCGATTGTTACTAGAGCGCTTCTGGGTTCCAAGAGTATCTCGTGGTTGGCCTAGAGGAATGTCGGGACGGTCAGTCCCTGCTCAGCAACAGGCGCCACGGGAGACGAGAGCGACACTGTCGACTACGTGATGTTCGTGCTCGACCGCATGAGCACCGCGGAGGAGGCGCTGTTCGGGGGCGGCGGCTCTCCCGCCCAGCGAGCCTTCCTCCTCCTACTCCTCCTCCGCCTCCTCCTCCTCCTCCTCCTCCTCCGCCTCCTCCTCCTTCTCCTCCTCCTCCTCCTCCTCCTCCGCCTCCTCCGCCTCCTCCTCCTCCTCCTCCTCCGCCTCCTCCTCCTCAGACGTCCGACGTCGTGACTGTTTGTCGCAGCGTGCCCCCTCAGAGGTCTGGACCTCTTCCCGGAGACCAGCTTTTCATACGAAGCCGTTTTCAGACGGTCCCAGGGCTTGGCGGCGGCTTCCGGACGACCCCAAATTGCCAAAATGTTCCGTCGTGTTTTTCACGACGGGGAGGTTTTCATTCCATTCGTTTAGATTAGATACTGATCAGATAACCACCTAGTGCAGCCGAGATCTATTTTTCCCTACCTAGGCTCTGCCTAGAGGGTTCTTACTCTCTGTCTTAAAGGGGCCTGGCAGTGCAACTCGCCCCGGGCGGTTCCCCCAGTCCCCGCCCCGCGGTTCCCCCAGTTGCGCCCCTTGGGTTCACCCAGTTTAGCTTAGCTTATCTCATCTTAGCTTAGTTTAGCTTAGATTAACTTAGCTTTGCGTAGCCTAGCTAAGCTTAGCTTAGCTTATATCATCTTAGTTTAGCGTAGCTTAGCATCGCTTAGCTTACCTTAACTTAGCGCAGCATAGCGCAGCGCAGCATTAGCATAGCATAGCATAGCATAGCCCAGCATCGTATAGCATAGCACAGCTCAGCATATCCTAGCATCGCATAGTATAGTATAGCATAGCATAACGCAGCATAACATAGCATAGCATTACTTAGCATAGTACGGCGCAGCATAGCATAGCATAGCACAGCACAGCATAGCATAGCATAGTATAGCATAGCGTAGCATAGCATAGCATAGAACAGCATATCATGTCATAGCATAACCTAGCATAGCATAGCATAACACAGTACAGCATAGCATAGCATAGCGCAGCATCGCATAATATAGCATAGCATAGCGCAGCGTAGCATAGCACGGCATGTCATAGCATAACACAGCGCAGCCGAGCGTACCCTAGCATAGCATAGCATAGCATAGCGCAGCATAGCGCAGAATAGCATAGCAGAGCAGAGCAGAGCAGAGCATAGCGCAGCATAGTAAAGCATAGCATAGCAGCAAAGCAAAGGCAAGCAACAGCAACAACAGCAAAGCAAAGCACAAGCAACGCAAAGCCGGACCTGCAGTGCTGAACAGCCTGCAGCTCTTGCAGGAGCCGCGAGCAGTGCTGAACAGCCTGCAGCTCTTGCAAGCAGTGCTGAACAGCCTGCAGCTTTTGCAGGAGCCGCGAGCAGTGCTGAACAGCCTGCAGCTCTTGCAGGAGCCGCGAGCAGTGTTGAGCCTAGTGCAAGCAGTGCTGAACAGCCTGCAGCACTTGCAGGAGCCGCGAGCAGTGCTGAACAGCCTGCTGTCGCTGGGTGCACAGCAAAGCAAGACAAAGCAAAGCTCGGCATAGCATAGCTTAGCTTAGCATAGCACAGCGCAGCATAGCATAGTATAGCATAGCATAGCATTGCATAGCTTAGCTTAGCTTAGCTGTAGATGTGGATGTAGATGTAGATGTAGGTGTAGGTGTAGCTGTAGATGTGGAATGCTGCATGTGTGTGTGCGTGTGTGTGCATGTATTTGTTTTGCACCGCGTCGTTTGAGGGAGTTTCGGTGGAACTCACGTCATCCTGACCCCCGGCGCGAGATCCGAGAAATCCGGCGAATCCGGACGAATTCCAAACCGGCGCCCTCGCGTGGGACATCCTAGCTTGCGCTCGCTGGGTGCCAAGCAAAAGCAAAAGCAAAGGCAAAAGTGAAGGCAAAAGCGAAGGCAAAGCAAAAGCATGGCATAGCATAGCATAGCATAGCGCAGCATAGCATAGCGCAGCATAGCATAGCATAGCCTAGCCTATCCTAGCCCAGCATAGCATTGTGCATCATAGCATAGCATAGCATAGCATAGCATAGCGCAGCACAGCATCCACTATTGCTGTTGCTAGCAGCATGGTGCAGCATAGCATCCACAGCATAGCATAGCACAGCACAGCATAGCGCAGCACAGCATCCACAGCATAGCAGAGCAAAGCACAGCACAGCAATGTGCAATGTTGCTTTCCTAGAGGCTCCAACTCCTAGGTAGGGTCGCACTGCGATAATTACCGAGTCTACTTTTACCGAGTCCGGGCCTCAATATTAAGTATAAGTCCCCAGAGCGTTGTTGAGATGATGTCGCTGTTGCCATTACAGTCTGGGCGGGCTCAGTCCAGGGTCAGTCCAGGGTCAGTGCGGGGACGGTCCGGGGTTAGTCTGGGGTCAGTCCTGAGTCAGTCCGGGGTCAGTCTGCGGTCAGTCCGGGGACAGTCTGGGGTCCGTCTGGGGTCCGTCCGGGCTCCGTGCGTCCGGGGTCAGTCCGCGGTCAGTCCGGGGTCGTCCTGGTCAGTCCGGGGTCAGTCCGAGGTCAGTCCGGGGTCAGTCCGAGGTCAGTCAACGGTCAGTTCGGAGTCAGTCCGGGGTCAGTCCGAGGTCAATACGGGGTCAGTCGGAGGTCACTTCGGGGTCCGTCTGGGGTCCGTCCAGGGTCCGTGTGGGGTCCGTCCGGGGTCCGTCTGGGCTCCGTCTGGGGTCAGCCCAGGGTCAGCCCGAGGTCAGCCCGGGTCAGTCAGTTTGGGGTCAGTCCGGCGTCAGTCTAGGGTCAGTCTTGGGGTTAGTCCGAGGTCAGTCTGGGGTCAGTCCAGGGTCAGTCCAGGGTCAGTCCAGGGTCAGTCCGAGGTCAGTCCGGGCTCAGTCCAGGGTCAGTCCGAGGTCAGTCCGGGGTCGTCCGGGGTCTGGTGTGAGTCCGGGATCAGTCCGGGGTCGTCTTGGTCATTCTGTGGTCAGTCTGGGGTCAGTCCGAAGTCAGTCCGGGGTCAGTCCCGGGTCAGTCCGGGGTCAGTCTGGAGTCAGTCCGGAGTCAGTCCGAGGTCAATACGGGGTCAGTCGGGGGTCAGTTCGGGGTCCGTCCAGGGTCCGTGTGGGGTCTGTCTGCTGGGGTCCGTCCGGGGTCCGTCTGGGCCGGGTCAGCCCGGGGTCAGCCCGAGGTCAGCCCGGAGTCAGTCAGTCTGGGGTCGGTCCGGCGTCAGTCTGGAGTCAGTCTTGGGGTTAGTCCGAGGTCGTCTGGGGTCAGTCCGGGGTCAGTCCAGGGTCAGTCTAGGTTCAGTCCGAGGTCAGTCCAGGCTCAGTCCAGGGTCAGTCTGGGCGCAGTCCGGGGTCGTCTGGGGTCAGTCTGGTGTGAGTCGGGGGTCAGTCGGGGTCAGTCCAGGGTCAGTCCAGGGTCAGTCCGGGGTCAGTCCGGGGCCAGTCCGGAGTCAGTCTGGGATCAGTCCGGGGTCAGTCCGAAGTCAGTTTGGGGTCAGTCCGGGGTCAGTCCAGGGTCAGTCTGGGCTCAGTCTGGGGTCAGTCCGGGGTCAGTCCAGGGCCAGTCCGGAGGCAGTCTTGGGTCAGTCCGGGGCCAGTCCGGGGTATTTTGTAAAGGTTTATGGCTTCGGGGACGCGGATATAGTGTAAGTTAAATGTGTATGGCCTCGGGGACGCGAATATGGTGCAATGTACAAGGGTTTATGGCTTCGATGGCGCGAAATTCAAGTATTCTTACGTGTCCCACGCCCCCCCAGGAATTCAGACAACGCGTTTCGGGCGTGGTAACTAGGTTCCTTTTCGGCCCCCCCCCTCGCGCGGTCCATCAACAAGGAACAGTAAGCAGCAAGAAGCAGAACTGTAACAGTGGAAACTGGAACCTGGAACTGGCGCAGGGAACAGCAAACCTTGGTCCTACAGCCTGGTGGCCCCACAAGGGGGCCGGCGGATTTTCTGAAAATCTTGAAAGTCCGATGGCTTTCTCAATAATTTGCAAAAGCGCGTGTTGTGTTTGAAAACCGTGTTGCGAAACCATGTTGTTGCATGTTTGTTGGACACTTGAGTTTGAAATCCTTCTGAAACCGATGGTTGTTTTAAGGATTTCGGCATGTGCGCGCGACGACGCGCGCGTGTGCATTCCGTTTCATTTGTTGCAAAGGATTATTGAAAACTTGTGATTTGTGATAAACAAGTGCGCGCGCATAATATGTTTTGCAGAGGATGGCGGAGAGGGCGATCCCGGCCTGGCTGGGATAGTATGAATTCACAGGTTGGATGGACATTGGGTCAGAATCATATGTGCATTGCAATACGATAAGGTGAATACTTCAGTCCGGGATGGGAGGGTGGTAGACTTAATTTTTTAAGACAGGAGAATATGTGTGGTACAATCCGCGTTGTGCAATCCAGGTGGCGACGAGCCCGGCGACGGCGACAACATAAGTCGCCAGGCCGCCACACTAGACCAGCTCCTCGGAGCAGAAGCGAGAAACCTTGAACGCAAGCACTGCTCGGGCAAATACCAGCACAGCCAACCCGCACAGCATGCACGAGCAGCCTTTCCAACGGCACCCTTGCATCATGGCCTTGTCGGCCCGCCCTTGGCCACCTTCGTTGGCCGCGCCCCGCTCGAGAAGCTTCGAAATGGCCCTCCAAGGCCCTTCCTTGTGGGACTGGAAAATGACCACAGCCACTGCTTCTTGTTTGCGCCGCCTTCCAGCCGGCCGAAAAAGAAGCAGTGGTTGTGGTCATTTCCCTGGTGCCAAGCTCAACGAAAATGACAAAATGACCACGACCACTGCTTTGTTTCTGCGGGCTGGAAGGCGGCAACAAAAGAAAAGCAGTGGCTGTGGTCGTTTTCATGCCCCGTATTCCTTCTTTATCGTGCCTCTTCATGCTACGGGCTGACTGCATGTGCACCTCGAGCCTCTCGGCGCGACGGCCCCCCGGGGCCCGAGGAGCCTGCGCCCGGGGCCACTGAACCTGGGCACGCCGGCGGGCCCGCCTCGTGCTCTTGCTCGGGGCTCCGGCGGTGCGTGCGGTTGCGAGGCGCAGGCCCCTGACACCCGCCGCCGCCGACGACGACGACAACGACGACGACGACATCGACCGCTTCCCCACGGGTAGTGTTTCATCCTGGACCCACGTTTGACGGTCCTGTCGGCGTCGGCCACCACCCCCACCCCGCCCACGCACAGTCCGTAGAGCTGGTCGGGGACGTCGCCAAGATGCTGCTGCTCGTGATGCTGGCCAAGATGCTCATCACGCCCTCTCCCGCCCCTCCGGGCCGCGAGGCGGTTCCGCTGGACCGCTCCGCAGAGGGGGGGGCTCCCGCCCGGCGTCTTCCTGTTCGCTCCTCCTCCTCCTCCTCCTCCTCCTCCTCCTCCTCCTCCTCCTCCTCCTCCTCCCTCCTCCCTCCTCCTCCTCCTCCTCCTCCCTCCTCCCTCCTCCCTCGGCCCTCCTCCTTCCTGCGTCTCCTCCTCCTCCTCCTCCTCCTCCTCCTCCTCCTCCTCCTCCTCATCCCTCCTCCTGCTCCTCCTCCTCGTCATCATCATCACCACCATCTTCATCATCATCATCCGCATCCTCATCATCAGCAGCAATAGCATCACCATCATCATCATACCATAATCATACCATCATCACCATCATCATCAGCATCATCATCATCGTCATCATCATCATCATCAGCAACAGCAACAGAGCATCATCATCATCAGCAACAGCATCATCACCACCACCATCATCATCATCATCCCCATCATCATCCTCTTGCCGCCAGGATGAACACGGGTCCTGGAGTGGGGTGTTCCTGAAGGTTGTTCGCCCTTCTCAGGCTCCCGAGGGCCACAGGACCGTTAAGAAACGGCTCGAGATGAAGAGTTGATCCGCGGGGGGGTGGCCAGGGCCCAGGACTCCTTTTCAACAGGGCCCGCAACAGTGCTGCCAATCCTGCTCCTGATGTAGCTTGGTGCCCATAGATGGTCTTACATCTTATGGAAGGAATTGCGCTAACCAGCGTTGGCTGGGGGGGTGGTCGGGAGGCTTCACGCGGGTTGGCCATTGGAACGCCGAACAAAGAATGAATGCGCTTCAGGACGGGAAAAAACACACAGACACAATTGATCGTCGACTCCCAGGACATATTAGAAAATATGGGAAGTGGGGGGAAGACGAACACCCAGAAAATATGAGAAAATATGGGGGATCCTGGGATTTGTGTCGATTCATTTGTGCGTCCCCAGGCCCCTTCAGTGTCGTATAGTTGCGGTGTGTCTCGGCCACGTCTAGGGTCCAGCCTAGAAGACACAGGACCGGACTGGACAGCAGAGCCAGCCCTGAGCCCAAAGTGGTCCTCAGTTGAGCGCTTTGGTTGTAGCTGTAAGTCGGGCCTGTCCGTCTACAGGAGGGATACTCAAACATAGTCAAAAATAGTCTGGAGACGATTGTTTGACTATGGTTGAGCATGTATGGGGTACTTCTGAGTTTGCTTAACTTTTCGCCCATATCCCCCTGTAGGGGGACAGGCCCGACCTAACTGTAGCTCTTACCACGGCGAGCCTCGGCCACGAATAGGTTCCCCAGCCCAGATCTAAGGAGCGGACTGGACACCAGAGCCCGCCTTCGAACCCAAAGTGTTCCTCCGTTGAGCGCCTTGGCTGCAGCTCTTATCACGGCGAGCCTCGGCCACGAATGGGTTTCCCAGCCTAAAGACAAAGGAACGGACTGGACACCAGAGCCCGCCCTGAACCCAACGTGGTTCTTAATTGAGCGCCCTGGCCGTAGCTCTTACCATGAAATAACGTACGCAGCTGCCTGCCCGTGATCGAAGGGCAACAGGCGCGCTCGCCCAACTAAGCCAGAGTCATCCTCCAACGGGGCGCTGCAACGGTTCCCTCCTCCGCCTTCACTATCCTCCTGCGAAACCGCCTCCTCGTCTTCCGTTTACGTCTCCTCCTTCTTCGTTGTTCTGTCTCATCTTTCCTCGTGTTTTCCTCTCCCCCCCCTCCTCTTCAGTCTCCCTCTGCTCATTCACATGCTCCTCCTCATCCTCATGTCCTCCTCCTCCCTCATTCCCTCCACGCCGCCATCCGCCTGCGCCCTGCACTCTGACAGCACAGCACGTGTATTCACCGTGGACGCTGGCACATCCCATCCGCTTGCTTCTCCTCCTAATCCTTAATCATACAGTCAACCTGCACGGTAAGGACGGGCAGCTTTCCAACGTTACCCTTGCATCCTTCCCCTTCGGCCCATCCTTGGCCGCGCCCCGCTCGCAAAGCGTCGGCACTGCCTTCCAATGGGCATTGCATCCTTGTCGCTCGTCCTTATCGTGCGGGTTGACTGTAAGCATAAGCATCCCCTCCTTCTCCTCTTCCTTTCTCGTCGTCATCCGCGCCCGCTCCTCATCGCCCCTTTGGTTCCGACCATCCTGTGGTGTTTGGTACCCGTTTTGAAGAGACGGCACCCCGTGTTCCTTCCTTCCCGTTGCCCCCCCCTCCCTTCCCATCCTTAACTTTTGCCCCCCGCACCAGTCAACCACTTCAACACACCCCTCAAACGTTCCGTGGCCCCATAGGCAGCTCCACCCAAGGCCCCACGGGCACCGTCGACATGCGCATGCGCCACGGGTTTCGACACACCCCTCAACGCGTTTCGTGGCCCCACAGGGACTTCCACCCAAGGCCCCACGGGCACCGTCGACATGCGTCCGCGCCACCCATTTCGACACGCCGTTGACACGCTTCGTGGCCCCATGGGGACCTCCACCCACGGCCCCACGGGCACCGTCCACATGCGCCCGCGCCACCCATGTCGGCGCACCCCACACACGCTTCGTGGCCCCGGAGGGAGCTCCATCCACGGCCCCAGTGGCACCGTCCACATGCTACGACCGCCACTCCCCTCGCTTCACGATCTCCCTGCATGAGCGAGACTGGTGACAACCAAGACCTGGAGCAAGGCGTTGACCGCGACATCCGGCTCGAGTCCGACAGAGTCATGAGCTGCGTCGAAGCACCGCGAAGCTGCGTCCTCAGGCACGACTGGCTGCGGCAAGCACGCTTGTTCGGGATGGCACACAAGCAGACTGTACTCGCCCACTTCGTAAACCACCCGCTCGCTACTACCATACCAGATCGGCAACGAATGCGACGACATACCCACACCAACCGCGGTGGCCTATCAACGCCACAGCCTGATCATGCACCTCAAGTTGGGCAATCGCTACAAGCCGGCCCCCCCAACTTGCGCCATTCTCCATCACGCGAGAATCAACGAGCCGATCAACGCCCAGGATCCCGAGCTGCATGCAGCCAACCCGGAGCACGCAAGCCAACCACATGGCCGCACCCGGCCAGCCACGAGCGGACACCAATCAGGAGCAGCCCACTGCAAGCATGAGCAACAAGCCACATGCCGAGCCACAGCACCACGACCCATCGACACCACTGCACAGCATCACAAGACAAGGAGCCGAACCTCAAAGACACCATCGCCAGGCTCAACCGCTTGGAGGCCCTCGGCCACTTCACCAATTGGCGCGAGCAGCGCGCCGCCTCGCGCGGCCAGCCTGTCGCCGCAGCGGGGTCCGACGCGCAGCAGCGCCCCAACCCAGACACGCATGCACAGCTGGCGTTGGCCGACAACGACCACCAGCAGACCCCAGCGACGATCCGCACGAGGATCACCGACCACGACGCAGCGATGCCCGCCGACGACTCCAGCCTTGCGCCTTGCCAACCAACCGGCAGGGACAGCAGGAGGCACCACCGGCCCACGGGAAGGAGGGCACGACAACCCCACGGACATGCACGACCGGCAGGCTCATAGCTCGCCTACCAGCTCGGATACAACACTACGGCGAATCAGAAGGCACCCCTCTGACTGCTCACGACCTGCGAGGCCCAAGCCTCGGGATGGGACCGGCCGAGGGGCGGCCCATCAGTGCGTCACCGCTCCCCACGTTTTCTGTAAGTTTGACCGTTTTCGCATCACGACAGACAGCATACTGCGTCAGCTGTTCCATTTCAATTCCACGTCTCGCCACTACCCTCACACCAAACTGCACGCACTCGCTGGTTGTCACCGGCAGCAGCACGGCTGGTAGCAGAAGCCGTTCATCTCACCTCTCCATCGACGGCAGTACGTGGCGCAGACGCCCAACTACGCAGCACAGCATACGGCGAGAACACCGACAACAGGTATGCTATGATGTGTGTCCCCGAAGGGCCTACTCACCCACATATGCTCCGTTATCCGACGTGCTCGAGCGGTTCCCTACGTAGCATTCTCACCCGCAGGAGATGGCAGTGGGTACCCACGGGGCCTTCTCACCCACAAATACGGCATGCAACATGAGGGCCTCCACCAACATCCAACCTTCACCCTCTCCCGGCTCATCTTCTTGCAGCCCCCTTCCCTTCGCCTTTCCAAGCTAACCTCCCACCATCCCTCCCCTTGCGGCGGCCGACCCGGACGGTATTATCGGGCGGGGAGTGGGCAAGGACTCACCGCCAGCCGTCCTGGCAAGGGTAAGGGCGGTCGCGGCCGCAATGCAGCCAGCAAGCAATCAAATCACTCTTGGCACACTGCAGGAGCAGCCCCGTCAGGGCGCTACAGACCATGTGGTTTGGGCCTAACACCAGAAACAAATCTCCACGGCCCCACCGTGCAACATTATTGAGCCTTCGCGGAGGTCAGGGGTGAACCCACAAAACCCCAGGGCACTGAGAGGCACAGCGTGCCTAGCACCCAGCAGGGGTAGCATCACATCGTCTCACTGCACCCAGTTTTTGCACACAGACACACACACACCATTTGTTAGACTTCATCTTTGCCCCCGCAGTCCAAAGCCTCGCTACCAGCAGCCGCAACCACGGGCTGCCTGCATAAACTAATGGTGCGATGTTGTTTGGGGGTTTGGGGGGTGGTTTCGGGGGGATCACACTACCATCGCCGCGCCGCCGCCACGGAAGGCATAAATTTCCCCCACGCTTCGCTGCAATAGGTTGGCTGTACTATATATATAGGTGTAAGCATTTACATATACATGTACATATACATATATATGTATATATATGTATACATATACATATACATATACATATTCGCCGATCTATCGATGATGCATGCATCAGTACTGTCCGCAGCTATCTTTGTGAGTCAAGTGGAGAAAAGGTCTCCGCTCGCGCGCGCCTTCCCTCGCCCTTCGGCCGGCCAGTTCGGCGCGTGCGCACGTATTCACATATTGCTTAACGGACATCATTGCTGCCAAAGCCATGGCTCCAGCCCCCCCCCCCCCCCC